ATTTCATATTTGAGTTCTGGTTGTTACCGAATCTAACTGGCGAGCATTTCATGGAATTCGGGTAGCACAAAGGGAAATTCTACCACGAGCCATATTTACATTTTTCTAGGTATGTTAACTATGAGCTTACTGATGTGTTAAAAATTGGAAAAAAGTATTTAACAGACATTTTTATAATGTTCTGTAATACATTCACATAACTAGAAAATACGCATTGCTGTCGGTTATGTGCTGGCCATATTAGAGTTTTTTTTTACTGTCTTTGAATCTGTACAACGTTTTATTATGCAATGAATCGTTGAATGACTTCTGTCAACTAATTTGGATATTTTACGAATCGATTTCTTTTCCTCAAAATACTTAATTATTAATGCTCTAACATCCATTGCGGTTTGCCCTTTTTTACAACCCATTTTCAAATAAATTTGTCTTTGCACCTTCAAGCACTTTGTTAAAAGGAAAAATTTTTACACGTAAAATAAATTTTACGTGTAAAAATGGAGCTCCCGTTAATTGACAAACTTTTACCAAAAATACGAAATGTTCGAGCTTTCCTTGACGATTATTTTTGCACTTTTTTTGTTTTTATTATTTTTTTTATTAACCAAATGAATTCAAAATTGTTTTTATATATTTTTGTAACTATAACAAGCAAACTTTAATTGGGAATATTTTTTTTTTGTACTAGTATTTAAAGGAAATTTTTTTTCGACTTATATCTCAATTTTTTATAGGTGTCGGAATTTGGCTTGACGTGAGTGAATATATGCATAATTCATATTGAATTATATCATATTATTCAATATTACTGAATTATAATTTATTAGTTATTGAATTATATGTGTATCTTCTTATTTCAACCTAATTACATTCATACATACTACTACCAGGTATGTTCAACCAAAAAAATAAACTACACACAAATGATATAACTCAAGAATTCAAATTAGACTTAAATTCCGATAATGAAATAGCTGACCTAAACTTTGAAATGTCGTCCGTTTCATGAGGTGATAGTTGAAGTTACATGGGTGCGCAAATTGAAAATTCTTTACAACAGCACGACAATTTTCAATTAACCGATACAACTATAAAATATGTGATAGCGTTAAAACCTAGTTAAAAAAAAAGAAATAAGAAGAAAATTCTGGAAAGTCTTACATTTCTTAAAAGAGAGAATTAGTACATTTTTTCCCTTGAGTAACGTATTTTGTAAAAACGTTTTCATGGGAAGAATTACTCATGATGAACAGAAAATTTTAATTGACAACTACTGGGCGATGAACTCGTATGAAAAGAGATTTTAGTATATTTGAGGAAATACTGAATTAGCAACAAAATTATCACAAAACAAACACCAAGAAAATACAATTTGCTCTTACGTTGAAATAAACGGTAATAAAATAAATGCTTGCAAAATGTGTTTTACGAAATGTTTTGAAGAATCACCAGGATTTTTGAGAAGTGCAACAAAAAACAAACTTACTTCAAATTTTACTGAAAGTCGTGGCAAATTTGTTCCAAAAAACAAACTTGATAAAAAGTATAAAATTAAAGATTTGTCAATAGCCAAAATATGCCAGCTTTATTGTTGGAATGATACAAACAACAAAATTAACAATTCAAGATATGCAGAGATTTTTCATTCCCAAAACTTAAAATTTAAGTCGCCAAAAACAGATAGATGCCACAAATATGATATTTTGAAAGCGAATCTTGACTTCACTGAAAAAAAACATACCTGAATACGAAGAACTAAAACAACAACAAACAGAACACAACATAGAAGCTTCTCTAGCTTGTAAAACTAAAGAAATAGATAAAAATTAATCAAAATAAAATATGAATATGAAAATAATATATGTATTTAATTTGCAACCGTGCCTTCCAACACATTATCTTAATGCAAACATTCATATTATAAAAGAAAACTTTTTAAAATATAATTTAACTATACATAATTGCGAAACAAACGAAGCTTTTAACCATATGGCATGAGGCAGAAGGTTATGTGGCAAGAGGGCTGACGAAATTTGCTTTTGTTTAATTTTTAAATTAAGTTATTTAGCTGCAACCATTAAAATAGACGCATTGATTTTGTATGGTGATTCCTGCGCCGGGCAAAATAAAAATTCGTAGGTTCAATATTCAAATTACTTTTAAAAATACATTCACATATCAAAATAATTGAATAAAATCGTAGTTCCAGGGCATATTCGTATGGAAAGTGATGTAGATCAGGCAATAATTGAACGAAGAAAGATACTATAACAAATTTCGATCTAAGTATAACAGATGATGATGTTTTTCTGGATGAAAACGGAGATGAAAATTAGAAATATGATCATAGTATCATTTGCTTATATTGTTAAGATAATGAACTTATTTTTATTAATGCATGTGAAATTACAATTTAATTTTATATAAAGTATATTATGTTTTTTAAATTAATTCATTAAACATGTTTTTAAGTTCTTTAAATAAAATTAAGCATTTGGAAGTTAATATTTTATTTCCTAAAGTCAAATTGTTTCTTATTTTGTTTATTAATTATTGAATGCATAAGGCTGGATTACACATATCTGTTCATTTGAAAAAAAGAATAAGATTATTTGTTTAGGTTAAAAATTTGCATAACGAATTGGAATAACGATATAACTCCACATAAGTTGGTAATTGAGATAAAAAAATCTGATGTGGTCAGCATATAACCCACCGCAATGTGTATTGTCCAGTTAAGTGAAACTGTTACAGAATATTATAAAAAGGTCTGTTATATACTTCTTTTCAATTTTTAGGACATTAGTAAGCTTATAGTTAACATACCTAGAAAAATGTAAATTTGGCTCTTAGTAGAGTTTTGCTCTGTACAACCCGAATTCACTGAAATGCTCGTCAGTTAGTTTCGGTAACAACCAGAACTCAAATATCAAATTTCAAGAAATTCCATCAATTCGTTCCGTAGATATGGTGAAAAATGTAAAATCGGCCCGCAGATCAGTTTTTGTGCCCTGATCTTTCCAAAAAATTTATATGTTCATTGTTTTAATACGAGGAATTCAAACATTAAATTTCAATGAAATCGGTTGATTATTTCTCTTTATATACGCAAAAATGTATATTTGGCACGTAGTAAACTTCCAGTTGCTGACGCCTGATTTCTCCCAAAAGTTGGTAAATTTCGCGGACGTTTGAGTGAAGCTTATATATAAAATTTCAAGTAAATTGCTTGAATATTTTCTTCAAAATGGTCAAAAATGTAAAACAGGCCCGCTAAAACTGCATTTTCCGAGGCCTGATATATCAAAAAATTTGATCAATCCGTGCCATGGTGGAAATATATTACATTTAAATTTCTTCAAAATCGAATCAGCCGAACTTGAGATACACGCGTGTACGCAAAGACCGACAGACCGACGCACCGACAGGTTGCTAAAAATATCTTACTTACACTTCCTTACTGTGGAGAAGTGTATTCCCACCGAAAACTCGATATGCAAAATTTGTTGCCATTACATAACCTACCTATTGTATACACAATACGGTCGGTAAAAACATTACTATATAAAGTTGTAAAAATTACATATTATATAAAGTTGTGTTTAACTTTATCAGCGTTTCAAATAAGGAAAAAATTACACAATTTTCTTTTTAGTTGATAACTTTGTTAATATTCAACTTTTAGTCCAGATTTCGAAACTATAATATGAGTACTTATATAAGTAAAAAAATTATAACAATAAGTTTATAAACTTTTTTCAAATTTCATTTCAAAGTTATAAACTTAAAAGTGCTCTACTGAAAAGTAACGAAAAATCACTTAAGTCGTTTTTCCTTTTTGCCAGAGAATATTATTATTTTACTTTTATTATAAAACTAATTCAGGTTATATTCATGCCCGTTAATCGATATATAGAACAATAAATATAATAATTACTTTTGAAAAAGTTGAGCCAAACTAAATATTTGTAGAGTAGTACTTTTCCCTTATAATAATAAAACGGTTTTTATCTTTTTAGCTTATTTTGGCTGTCTTGTGTACAAATTCGTAACAACAAACAAAAAAAAACGGAAAACTGGAAACAAAAATGATTACAATAGGAAGAAACGATAAAATAAATTTTTAACATATTCAAATGATGTTCTAATGTTAAACAATTTTCAATAAAGCAAAAAGTAATATAAAATTTTTTACATTTGTATTTTTATTTATATATGTATTTATGTTCATTTTTCATTTAAACCACAATTAAAAAATTTTGTGTTAATATAAAGCAATAGGAATTTCCCAAATAATGTGGACCTATTGATGTTTATATACAAAATATCGAAAAATGTCTTCGTAAACCTTTGACGCTTGTCCAATATTTAAAAAATATCGCAATAAAAATTACGTGAAAACTAGTTCTGAGAGGTTATTAATAAAATTAGTACTTATGTTGGGTTTATCCAATGTCTTTTTTTAACAAATTTATTTAAGCTTATTTTGCTTTTTTGAACTAAAAATATGTGAGATCATTATATTTTTAAATATTATTTATTTCTCGGTTTGTGTTTCTAATAATAAAACGTATTATTTACTTCTTGGTTTGTGTTTCTTATTATAAAAAGTATAAAAGAAAAATGTGCTTTTGTTATACAAAAATTTTTTCAGAAAATCTTGAAATAGAGCTATTTCGGGGATGAAAAGGTCCAATGACAGATTTTGCTGGAACCGTAGAAGCAAAACCCTATCTAATGCCTTTTGTCCCATATCTATAATCCTTCTAGAAGTACAAATACTTTTTGAAACCTGAGAACTCACTCAACCAAAAGTGAAGTGTCTATGTTCTGCTTTATCGAGATAATAAATAATTTAAAGTCCTCTACAGATTTCGATGTTATTTAGCAGTTTTTTAATTGATAGTTGTATTCTTTTAAATTTTTATAACGAAATGTAACGAATTATATATTTGTATATAGAGCTGTAACGACCGAAAAGGATTCTAAGGCTTGATTCCTCTTAAGTAATGTTTTAGTTCACTTTATAGGTTTCTGAACAAATACTTTATATTTGCTTCGAATTTCTTTAAAATATTGAAATAGAAATTTCATAGCTACATAACGAAGCTTTACAAATAAATAAAACTACACAACAAACGTTAACGAAACATAATGCTACTTAAAGCACCTTTTCGTTTCAACATTATTTTGTTGTTTACATTTGGCTTTTGTTTGGTATATAAGTTAATAATTTCTGATATTTATTTTTTAAAAAAATAAAAAATAAAATAATTTTACGTTTAACCTTTTTATATTTTCTTTTATTCTTATTTTATTAACAATAATTAGTACCGCTTCAACCAATTGTTACAATAATAATAATCAATCTTTTTAAAAATATCAGAAATTAATATAAGTTTAGGAAAACTTCACCTGAATAAAAAAACTCGATTTGTAAAACTTCATTTCAGCATTTCCAACAAGCGCAACCAAAAATTCATTTTCAAAAGTTACGAGTTCTGCAAAATAGCATTTTTCAATATTTTATTTTTGCGCGTGTTAATTTGCGTAACCAAAAGTTCATAACCCAAAAGTTGCGAATTCTGCAGAATAGCATTTTTCAATATTTTATTTTTACGCGTGTTAATTTGCTTAACCAAAAGTTCATTCCCCAAAAGTTGCGAATTCTGCAGAATAGCATTTTTCAATATTTTATTTTTGTGCGTGTTAACTCTTCCACCCTTAAAAATCGAGTGTCCACACTCGATCGGTGTTACGAGAACGATGTGCTGAAGAGATTTCTTTTGGAAAGTAGAGATTTTTGATTTGTGATATACCATTTCTCGGCACTGCTTTTGATATCGTTTTGGATGGGGTTACATTTGCTTCGGATGCGTTTTCCTTTGAAGCGACGTTTTTCAATGCGACTTCTACCTTGGGTTCTATGTCGACGATCTTTAGCTGTCTTTTTCTTCTTATGGTGATTATTATCGACGCTGTGAATATTAGTATGACAATGGTGACTGGCCCGACACTGATAGAATGTAAAATTCGACTGGTAAGTAATTCACCTTTCAGGAACTCAATTTCTTGGGTGTTGTTGTTGTTAACATCTCTTAGTGATTCTAAAGATAAATGTTCATGCACTTCTTGTCTGATCATTTGGGTTTGAAGGATAGCCGGGAATATTTTGCTGGTTGATAATTCTTTTGTGAAAAACGGTTCTCCATCGATTGTGACTGTAGAATTTTGAATAGTTAAGAGGTAAGTACCATTGATGTATTTCTCTTCGTTGTCTATTAAGATTACTCCTTTATACTGGTTAAGGAGGATGATACCATCTTCTACTGCTTCTACACTAGGAATGTGATTATTATTTGTGACATTACAGGTGGCCGTTTCTCCTCTTAGTAGTGGCAACACCCACCTGCGTGTTTTCTAGACTTTTAATGTTATTTTTATTACATATTGTTATGTGACTTAAGTCCTTACAATTTTTTACAATTTTAAATGAATTATTTCTACTATAAAGTAGTTGGTTGAAGTCAAGTTTTATTACATTATTACCATTTTTTATTGGCTTTATTATTAACTTATCATATAAATCATTTTTTGTTATTGGTATTTCTATAAGGAAAAGTAAAGAAGTTTCATTGGATATTACTTTTACAGTAGCTATATTGAGGGCTTCCTCTGCATTAGTATAAGGGAAGTTTTCATAATTTAATAAATCTAAAATATTTTTTTTAATTCTGCTTTAGACAATAACATAGAATTGACTATTCCCGCTTTTTCCCAATGGATTGAATAAATTATATTGGTCATTTCTTGTTTTAATAATTTGAGCTTGTATTGGATTTGCATAGCACAGTTGTTGTCGAATCCATACCCCGAATTTATATTCTCAAGAATTTGTTTCGTAATTTGTGTTATTTGGTTTATTTGATTACTGAAAATTTTGTTCACAACAACCTGTTTATTATTATTTTCAACCATAACATTAATTTTGTTGCCAACAATACTGAAATCTTCCTGGTCTGGAGACCCGCTTATCCACTTCCAAACGGTACCTATCGCTTCAATTGCCCTTTTCTTTCTACTTGGTTTCAGTTCATCTAATAAATCCTGTATTTGTGTTGCTTCGAGCTGCAGGTAAGGATGTAGTGGGTGGCTTCTAGTGCTGTCTTCAATCAATACAGTTTGGATTTCCTTTAGGGCGTCATTCAGGATCTTCAAATTGTTAATATGAATAAATCTAAAGGTTCCCTCCTGGATTTTTGCTTTCCCAACGTTAATTGTTACAAGCTTTTGTCCCGTGTGATCTAAAATCTGGACATCTCCTATTGCCAATTGTATGAATAAGCTTAGGTATGAAAGAGTAGGCTTGAATCACGGTAGTTATGATAATTTTTAATTATTAGTAGTTTTGTTAGTGTATTTGTTAATTAAAGTTAGTATAACTACGATTTATTAATTCATTAATCTACAATTTAATTCAAATAATATTTTTAAATATTT